CACTCAATCAAATTGGTCGTGCTTATATGACCAAAAACTTTGAATTTTTGAATCAAACTGCATTACCTAAACCTACTGATCCCATCACTTTTGTACATCATTTATCGCCTGCTCTTAATGAAATCCTTTCCCCACATTACTATAATGATAATAAATCACATACCTTAAGAGTTTTTGTTAAAGATCATGCATCCAACTTTTTAGAAGTATTTGAAGGAAACTTAGAAGAAAACCCATTAGGATCCAAGGAAATTCTTTCAAAATTTAAACATACGTTTATAATTAGAAATCCAGAAAAATCCGTAAAGTCATTTTATGAAGCTAAAATTCTACATGTAAAGTTTGGGATGAAGCCTATGTATCTAACTCTGAAAGATATGACATTTTTTTTCCTAAAAAAGTTTGGCTCAAAGATTTAAGGATTCTTCATGACTTAATTAAGAACGTAACTGGAGAGAAGGTAGTATTAGTAGACGCTGGTGATTTAGTTCGAGAACCAGAGAAAATTTTGAGAAAATATTGTGAGATGGTCAACATAGAGTTTAAGAAAGAAATGCTTGAATGGAAAAAAGAAAGGTTGAAAATATGGAATTTAAAATTGTCAGGACCAAATATAGATTATTTGTGGCATAAGTATGTTTTAGACCGCTCCAAATTGCTTTTATGTTTAACATAATCCTTTCTATTTTTTAAAATTTTATATAAAAAATCAACACCATATTAACCTATCAAATTGCAATATTAACCTTTTGAATTTTTATATTTTTTACAGACAATAGAATTACAGTATTTTTATATTTTTGGTGTTGTTTAATGCCCTCTTTTACGAAATACTTTTTTTATGTTAAACAAAGAATCAAATTGGAGTAGTCTTATTATTTTAATTTAATTTTTTCCATATTTTAACTATGTATATATTGTAAATAAAAAACAGGAATGCTATGCAGAGTACAGGATTTGACAAAGCAATTAATAATGAAGAAGAAATTGAATATTCTCAACATGTTTATGACTTAATTGTAAAAAGCAAACCTCATTATAAATACTTGTTTCAACAAAGAATTAAGATTTAGCACAATTTTGTTTATGGGTGTATGCCCAAAAAGTTACTGATTGTGCAAAACGA